TTATATTGTATTATGATTGATTTTGTTTTTGGTTTTGTACTGAAGTGCATTAACTCAGCGGCAGCACTTGTTGAACGATGTGCTTCATCCCCTTTGCTGCTTCCAAACCGCCAGAACCTGTTGCTTTCTTGTCCCGCCACCCACGCGTATCCAACGCTATTCGCCGAAATAATAAAACCATTGAATGAAATCCACTTGCAATGGCCACAGCGCGAAATTAACATCTAACAAGAGCAAAACATCATCGACAATATAGTTAGCTGCCTGTGTGACACAAACAATTGTTCAACCTGCGAGTTTTTGATGCGTTCGACGTCTGCCGTTGTTATCGTTTGTGTTGTCAATGTTATTGAATGTGGCGAGCTTGTAAGCGGCAGGATTACAGTCTTTACCTACTCGCGCAACCTGGATGCAGAATTCAAGCTGTCAACAACCGCAAACTTCATTATGTGTAGCAACTGGCGGGCGTAACCAATGTAGCCAATGTATTTGTGATTAACGCGAATTGAATGCGATTACAATTCCTCGTATACAATAGCAGGTATTAACATTATAATAGATTATTTCAATTAAATTTACATCAAAATAACCTCAAACTTAATTATTTAGGTTAGAATTTTATGAACATGATGTAAACGTGTTTTTAGGTTAAAACAATGCAATTTCCTGTTTTTTGTGTAAATTACAGTTAAACATTAATGTGATTGATTTAATTTGTCGTAATTTAAACAGGATTAACTCAACTACTGCCACTTATAACAACCAACTTAAAATCAGGCCAATTTACATCAACCTAACCTCAAAATTAACGATTTAGTACAGAATTACATAACTAGATGGCGCTGCATGATGTAAACATGTTTTTCTGTTAAAACAGTTTTATTTTTTGATTTGTATGTGAATTACCTGTTGTAATTAATGTGTAAAAATGTGATTGATTGAGTTTGTCGCAATTTAAACAGGATTTACTCAACTAACGCCAGCTACAACAACAAACTCGAAATTGCGTTGCAGCACCGCAAATTGGCAAAACTGAGTTACTTGTTTAATTGGTTTAACGCGCTGAACTGACGCTGTTCCGTGAAATTTTCTAATGGACGCCGCCGTCACATCCAACATCACAACCATTCAAACTCAATTAATTAAATGCATGATTGATTACGCCACTGCATTATTCATCATTCAATATATAAATATAATCGAATCGAAGCTCGTGTAAAATTTTTATTTGTTGTACATTAACAAATTAATAAATGCATAATCTGATAATGCTGAGATTAAATTTGCTATCCAATTAAAACTTGCAGCATGACAGTAGTGAGGGTTGCGGGTTGAGGGTTGGAGTGGCCTGCGCAAACAATAGCAGAAAAGTTATACGTGTATCAAGCGAGCTTGGACCCGCAAACGGACAGGCTTTCCAAAAGCTTCTCAAATCCTATCCGGAGATTCATCCTGCCTAAGCGTATTACACTTTAAATTTAATTTTAAAAGAAAATTATGCTTTAAATGTTTCATATTTGAATATAAAGTGGTTAACAAATTGAAAATGTGTAAGTTTAAGCAAATAAACTTAAATGAAATCTATTTTTCAAAGTTGGGTGATGTGATGGTGGAGGCGCCGGAAATTGACTGCTTGTTGCTTGCGTCGGTAGTGTACGTCCCGGCGCCTTCACTCGCGTACGACAGGCATTGCGAAAGCACCGAAAACAAGGCAACTTTGCAGGCACTGAGGTACCGCGCCACGGTAATATGGATTAACTGCCACTTTGTAACTACTTTAACGGCGTAGCGCGTCTTTGGCGTCGAGACGTCTGCGTCTTGATGTACGCTCACGAGCACGCCTGCATCTTGCAAACCAAATGAAAAGTATAAAAGTAGACAGGAATAAAATACTAAGTGTTTTACATTAAACTTATAATTTTTTTATAACTAAAAGTTTAAATCTGGTGAGGTTCGTGGAAATATTACGAACTAAACTGGTTTTGATGTTGTGCTTTTGACACATTTGATAATTGAATTTTTAAAACACTCGTAGAAGGCCAGTGAGGGTTATGAGTACATTGCCGAGGGTGAAAAAGTGTAAAAACAGCGCAAACTGCGGGGGTTGTGCACGCACCTCGTAAATGGATTTCAGACGAGTGGAAACTATAGTAAAATTCGATTACGTCAAATCGTTCAAAACCGCCACGAAGTTAAAATCGCAGTTTTCAGTACGTCGCACAACTTTTCGACGCGACAACAACATCCATCATATTTTTGGCTAAAACTACAGCCAGAATGTTTTAATTTATAATCTCTATATACAAAACAAAGTTGTGTTAGTTACAGCATTTATAACTCAAGAATAACTGGACAGATTTTAATGATTTATGATTTGTTAGATAGGCCTCAACATGGAATAGCAGAATAACTATTTAAATGTCAGAAATTATGAGTAAAAGGATGTTAAATAAGGAATATAAGTTGTTACAGAGATACAATTATAGTTATTGATAAATAATTGAATCCTAGATGGCGCTAAAGTGTATTATTAATATTTATCATTTTATTAAAATAAAAATTGCGAATCTTTTTAATAAAAGTACTAACTTTTAGGTCTAGGAACGAAATCGCAAGCGAAAACTAATATATATATAATATAAAAATGAATCGCAAAGTCTGTTGGTAAGCGCATAACTCAACAACGCCTAGACCAATTTGGCCAATTCTTTTTTTAAATGTTCGTTAATGTCCAAGTATAGTTTGTACCGCGATAAAAATTTGAATTATTGCCGGGAAAACCCTAAAGACAGCCTTTTTCAATAGGATAAAAGTTGGCATTGAGTTTCAATCATAGTTATAGTTAAATAGTTGAATCCGAGATGGCGCGCTGAAGTGCATTATTAGCAATTCTTTATATAATTAATTTCTATAAATAAATTAGCAAATCTTATTGTTAGAATTGACACATACGAGTAGTATGTCTAGAACAAGAGGGTAAAAAAGAATTACATTTTTATTAAACACTACCGGGACGAAGTCGCGGGCAAAAGCTAGTATATTTATATAATAATTCCTAAAAATGTTTTTTGTTGTTAATTAGCGGTTGAAATAAATTTTAAATTATTTGCAAATATTTGATTTTATGAGTCGGTAAATTGCTGCGTTTGTAGCAATGATAATACATGCGGTATTTTGGAGTTTGTGGTGTAAACACGTGTTGCTTGTTTGTAAAATATCGGATACATGGTGATTGATGCGTTGTGTTTGGTTTTGTTTTGCAGAATGCTGGGTGGCGTTGCTGGCAGGCATATGTCTAACCGGCGGCGCGGCTCTTCGCCGGCGGTGCGTGCCACCGATGACCTGCCGCCCCCGCGGTATGCCCGCCGCCGGCGCGCCGTCAACACCGCGGACCATAAATCATGTGCCCTTATTCAAACGCGTCTCAAGCTCGGAGATATTATGTAAGTATATCTTTATTTTTGCATTTATTTTGTGTCAAGTCAACGTTGATAAAAGTTTTCTTTGCCCAAAATGTTTCAAATTTCTACAAAAATATTATCTAAACCTTACAAAATTATAAAAATATTGATTTAACACAATAAATTCAATTTGTATGTCATTTTTATACATAATAATTGAAATACGAGTATGTAAAATTTTGGTAAATTTTAATTTTAATCTCGTATAAAAATATAAAATTTATTTAAATTCAGTTAAAATAGTTTGTTTGGTAAAACAAATAGATAAAGCCGCTCATTGTTTTCAAAATAACACAGTAAAATGCTCAAAATAATCACATTAATTGTTGTTTGTGCAGTGCAAATTAATTAAATTCACTAATAACGAGAAAAAATATCGGATACGACGTAGCCGAATTAAAATCGACTAGCGGTTGACTAAAATGCTAATATGCCAAAAAAAACCTGAAATCAGCACAAAATAATAAAATAAGAAAAATAACACTAAAAGCTGATAAATATTTTAGTATAGTATTAATAAAACTGAATTATCAAATTCAATAAAATTATCCGCAATAAAATAGAATATAGATTAATAATCCATTGGGGCAATAAAAACGAATTGCTCAATGGAATCCAATTAAAAATATTTCAGTTTCAAAACCAATAAAACGTGAAGTTCTTCATTCAGTCAAACTCAATGCGATTCCATTTTATAGCCTCTCATAACTGTTGCGTGGCTGCATCGGTAAAAAGATCGAAAATTATATTTGCGATGAAAAGTGTTTGTCGGAGTTTCGAGAGCCACCTTTCGGCGAGCGGAGGAAATGAGGAAAAACGTAGACAACACGTGGAAAACTCAACCTGCGCAGTTTGACGCGCGTAATGCGGCGTTTTCCACGTGGCGCGCTGGTTCATTGAGCGAGTATTTCGGGGTGGTAACTTTATTCTCTTATCAGGAAAATTCCTAGATGTCTCTGCTGGCGTGAAACGAAAAATTAAAGTTAAATAAATAGTAAAAATTATTTTGAATGCTTTTGAAGCTAAAAGTTTTCTAGATGATAAAAATTATTATTTTTAAGGTTGGAATGAAAAAAGTTTTTGATTTTTGTTAGATTTATCTAGGTCAAAGTGGTTAATAGTAATGACCTTTAGTAGTAAAATGTAGTAAAAGATGGCATTGTAATAGCGGGGGCGGTTTTAAGTTTTTCATTAAATTTAAAAGGCTCTTAAAGCTATATTCGTGGGTAGTTGATCGAAAAATTAAAATAATTTAATTGTTTTCCTGGTAGTGAGATATTGGTTTGTCGGTATGCCACGTGAGCGCGTTGCATGAATGGAAGCCGCCGCGCCGGGGGTAGCTGGATCCGGGCACTTGGGCATCGGCGCGGCGCGGCAGCGGCGAAAAAACAGCGCAAGCTCTAAGTCGCTGCTCCCACACACCAACACACACTTCCACACAGTCAAATGAAACGAATACGGGCGCCGGCGTATACCACCCCCACGGCGGCGGCGCGCCACCACACGCGTTCGACGATCTTTTCCGACGGCGGCCGAGGTCGGCCGCAAGCCTGAGGAGTACGGGTGCGGACCGTAGCCGCGCACACAGTGACGTTGCGCCCGAAAAGTGGCTAGAAAATAAACGCGAAAATGAAGTGTCGCGCACGGCGGTAAGAGACAACAACCGGGGTTGGCGAGAAACGCGGGCGCGGTGCTCTTCAGCAAGCTGGTGATCGCTTCGAATACGGGCGGATGCGATAGATGTGCGCGCGGTGTGCGGCGGCCAGCTTCGGACAGGATGACGCCGGGCAATGCTAGCGCCAGCTCAAGACACGCATCTGCACCCTAACGCGAGTTAGACACAAAATGGAGGCATGCTGCTGTAAGCCCACTCTGACAAACCAGGTGAGTGTACACCAGGCACAACCAACAGACGAGAAACACAGGGAATTACAGCGTCGCAGCGGCGAAGCCATTGCTTCGCGCGCGCGCTCGCGAAACGTTCAAGAGGAATCCCCTAAATGCCCACACGGCACATTGATCCCCGTGACCCACATCTGATCCTCGTATTCAAAAAATCTACATTAACTGGCTTGGAACTATTTTCACCACAATTCAACTCGCATGCATTAATCAATGGTAGCGCTCGTTTCCGGCGTTGAGATCCTCATCCTCATCATAGCTGCATAACCGGAGCAATTACCGGAGCGCAAGCCGCATTCATACACTTACGCCACTACTACACAAATACTCCAACCACCAAACACACCAAACTTAAACATTCTACAGCATAAAATAATGCGTCTGATAGCGTTAAATCAATTGTAAAAAATTGTGATTGTCGTTTTCTTGTCTTTGGAGCTAAAAATATCACCGCCCGAAATTCGACAGCGAGTAGCGCACAGCGTAGCAATGACCTTTCATCCTCATCGCGGTGGAATCAATTCGAATAAGTTATATCCGTTCAAATAACGACGACTGCTCATAATCAATAAAACCACATGATTAATTAACCATCGAGGTGGTGGAGCAACAGTAGGGCTATTTGTATCCAGTGTGCATACAGTGTGTTTGCGAAATGATTTTGTTTGCAAACAAAATTTCGAAATTTTAATTGTGTTAGCAGTGGCGAGGGTGTTCGTGTTCAGTGTGTCACGAGGATAATTCATTTTCACACACTACTGGCCGCATAGCAACGGCATCGGCGTCGGTGAGGGCGAGGGCGGCGAGAAGAAGCAAACGCTGCGCTCGTCCTGGTCGGAATAGGAAATAAGGGCGAACGGCAGTTGAGGTCGCGTTACACAAAGCGGACGCCGGCGTACAATGAATGCACCATGCACTTTGTGACACTAATAAAAATTCAATTTTGAAATTGTGTGCAAGTTGCATATTTTTTCTAGTTTGATACAATATAGGCAACCCAATATACAAATAAATATGTTGATTTTGATTGGCATTGAAAAATAGATACATGAGTGGTTAAATATGTCGTAGCATATCATCTTGTATACTTGCGCTCGGTATTGTTTAATCCATAAATGTTGTTCTTGTTCCACTTTGCAATTCAATCGCTTGGAAGTCTGGAGCGGCGCGCCGACTAAATATAAACGCCGCGGCGGGCAACGAAATTGACAGAACGTACACGAGCGACATTGATTAGGGTTTGCACTGGATACGTCCCACATTGTTATCGAGTTGATTCGAAGACACAATTGAGTCACAGAGCAAGTCTCAAGATTCAAAAATTACATCAAGCTATGAATAATATTTAGATTCGTCGCAAAATAGGAAATAATACGATAGTAGATAAGTTACAATATTCTTATCTTAAATAAAAATGGATTATTTTATTTATTTCACTGATAAAACGATTAATTTTTTGAATTTTATTCACTTTCTTCATTTAGAAGAAACGATTCGTGTATTGATTTGCGTCATTGTGTTTATTATCATCTTATTTTTCTGTGTCCTTCAGATTTGAAACAGAATCGCTTCGTATCATTTGTTTTGATCCAGTTGAGATTACGTTCTTGACCGACAACTTGCTTACCAACAGTTTTAAACTTAGTTGATCGTTGAGTTCGGCGTGTTCATGACGTTCGCGATGCGTTTGATATCGGAAATTATGTTTATTTTTATAAATTCCACGTATTATAAATATTAATTTTGTTTTTGATTTAGTTAAATATAAAAAGTGAATTTTATGCTAATAGTAGTGATTATATTAGCGATTGTTAATAAACTATAAGTATATATTTAATTTCTCAAGTGTTAAAAGTTATCGTGAAGGAATAATACATTTTCTTTTAATCTTTGGTTTGTTATCTATGATTTACGTTGATTACAAAAAATCTATAGAAAACCATTTTATTAAAATTATTGAAAATTAAATGAAATAGGCCGTTAGAGAACATTTTATCGTCCAGTCAATACAATTGGTGTACATAATAAACAAATGCCGTAATAATTTAAAAAAATAATAATAATTAAAATAATACTATAACAAAACAAGAATTCAAAATATATTTTTTTATGAAATCTGATTATCAGATTAATATATATTTTATTCTTATCTATGTTTAACACCTTCACGATGACTGAAAGATACACTGTTATTGTTGATAATTATTGGTTTTATATTAAGTTTCTGTCTATTAAGAATTCAATTTTATGACGTCTTAACATCTTAACTAAAAGTACGTATATCTTTGACGAAACCTTATTGAAACAAGCCGTTATCCAATTTATGTCGCGCTATTAATCCAAATTATATGCATCACGTTTGCAAACGAGTACAATCCAGTCAGTATTAATCGCGAGAACTGATTCATTTAATTCTTATCTTTGGTATAAAATAATAAATATTAAAACAATTTTAAAACACGTTTAAATTTAAAAGATAATAAAACATTGTGATTTAACGCGAACTAAAATACTTATATTCAACTTCAATATCAATTATTATTTTTATTATTAACCATAAAACGATAAATAAGACTTTTGTCACTAAACACTGAACTATAAACTGAACTTAACACTATAATACGACATGAATGACCTCATTGGAAGAATAAATAGTTTTCTTAGAATTCCAGGAAGATTTTCCAATGAGTCATGCACTTTTCACAATAGCTTTGATCTACGATAACTTTAATTATTTACATAACATTTTACCTTACACTTTTTCCCAGGAAATAATTTAATTAGTGTGGTAAAGTGTCGCGAATCTGGTTGCATACCAATGTAATTTCAAATTAGTATATGAGTTTGTTTGTTTGTTACTCTTTCACGAATCTCTTTTACTGAATAGATTTAGATGACTTTTTACAATTTTATAACTTATTCGTCAAAATAGAATATAGGCAACTTTTGTCCCGAAAATAAAATTTGAAGGCAAGAAAATTGGGTATGCTACCGATAGTTATTTAATTTAAACCAAGGCGGCGCTAATGTTGTTTTCGCATTTATTTAAATTAAAATTTATAATTTCATTGTCGACTTTAGCACATAATAAGTCCAGTACACAAGAAAGTAGTTAGTGAGGATACTTTTTAAAAATGTATGCAAACGATATCCCGGGCAAAAGAAACTAGTATCTAAACATATAAATTGCTGACAATTTAAATTGCCATTATTCTATTAAGATTATCACTTTCAATTTTAAACTGTCTCTGACTCTGACATTCAATTTATTGTGACCGGCATCTCACTACAAAGCCTCAAGTTAAATCATCTCACTGTGTATAACTCTCTAGCTGTACAAATTCTAAAACTGTTATCATCGCAAGTAGGTTAAATATTGCAACAGTTGATTCAGTTCGCAACTTTTTCTGCTCTGCACGAACGTCTGAACCGAGGTAAATGAAGGTAAACGAAACTGAACAAAAGGAAAATATCTAATTAGCAGAAAGTTTATCGCTTCGTTCCGTTTTCTAAAATACACACCAAACTTCAGCTATATGTAGGTGCACATTGCGCATTGAAACGTCAAAAACAAAAGCGAAAATCTTAAAGTTTCAAGAGTTTTGAAGTTAACTCGATACATCTTGTACTTATGTATATATATTTAAGACAAAAGGCTTGCAATTTTGTATCGTGTGTCGCTAATTAATCATGATTTTAATTTTGTGTGTCTTTTTGTTGCAGGTGAGTGTTAACACTAAACTAGAGCGAAATTAAATGTGGTTTGTTGAGTCCAGCGTGAGTACAAATACAAATTTTATAATAAACAATAGAAGAATTGTAAAAAATTACGTTTACAACGTAAAATTTCAAGAAAAACACATTTGAGACAAGAAAGGTTTATATTAGGTTATGTTGCTTCCGGATAGTAATTATATTTTGTATTAAAATAAGAAATTTATAGCGATAACATTAAAATAATAATATGATAGTACTCGTAACTTTTTAGTTTGTGATCATTAATTTACTATTATCTGGTTGTTTGTACATCAATTTTGCTTTTATTGTAATCTTTGCTGATTTGGTTCAAAAATCGAGCATCGTTTCGCTCGACATGCATCCGCAATGAATGGCCCGCGTTCCGGCCGGAAAGAAAACGTGAAAAACGAACGCCGAGACGACGGCGGGCGAGGGTGGCGGCTGCAAAAATGTAAAATACTCGAGTAGAAAAAATGCGGACAGCTATGTGAACGCGCAGGCAATGGCTTGAACAATGGGGAGGAAAACTCCAGGGTGGAAAACGCAACAATGCCGCTTTTCTTTCTACCGGTGTTGGGGTTTTGTTCGGCGCGTAAGCGCCGCGGAAAAGTGGGGCAACAATAGGGAAATGAAAAAATGAAATCTTTTTAATTTATTAAAAATTTACTAAATTAAACATGTTTGGGTGGCAATTACTATAATACTAATCATTATTATCTGTAGTTTAGTCAAATTTTAGTCAAATTATTATAGTATTAGCAATTTAAAACAAATATTCACTTTTAATCAACTTAATTTAATTTAAATAGCTCTGAATATCATTGCCATTGCCATGAGAACGGATCAAAAGTGAGGTTATGATACTTTCTAACCAAGAAATCACGTTTCTCTGTAAATTTTCTTAAATAAAAGTAAATTTTTGTGTTAAAATATGTTTTAACTATAATTATGTGAAATATTAGATTAATTCTGACATTAAATCAAATGATGTTTAAAACTGGCATTTTAAACACTTAATATTCATTATATTAATGTGGCATTAAAACTTATGACACTAATAAACGGTTTAAATAATTCTTAACATTTGCAATTCGTATCAGAATATCAATTAAAATGTCAATCATCATAAAATCATTATAAAATCAAAATGAAGCAGTTCCACATCTAATGATTACAATGCTAAATTATTAAACGATTAAATAATTAATTGATATGATTGCAGAACAAAACGATATAACTTGAAC